ATACTAATGCTGGAAATGCAAATAAATGAATGTTCGTTCGATGTATGATGGCTCACCGATAAGCTGATCAGGTTCTGTGAGACGATGCACCAGATCTGAAATATCTACTATATGCTCAATGACTGGAGCTCCAGATATACAGGTGCAATTGCGGTACACATGAAGGTGCAGAGAACCGCAAGATTGCCTGAAAACTGGGATATATTCAAAACATGGTACTAGATAAAAATACGAGTTACATCACCTATAAGAAAAGTGCCTGGTAACCTACAACTATTGATTTCAGAGATAAGCATATGTACAATGATGAGTATATGGATGATATTGTGTCTAGACAGATTGATGTCTGGGCGGTGTACTGTCATGAGTCGGATGATCAAAAATTTAAAGTCCATCTGTATACTTCGCTGGATGGCTCCTATTTCCTTCATTTGTGTTCTTAATCATGTCGTTCGATGCTCAAGCTTATCATGATCATGCTGCTTCTCAATCTAATTTCATGGCCTCTAATACATTGTGCAAGCAAATCTCTTGGCAGCATTCTGCTAATGGTCTGATTATTGTGGACCGCGATGAGCAAACCCCTTTCATCGGAGTGGTGACCGGAAGAGTATCACCTTTCAATCTCAAGTGTGGCACCAGTGGCGATTATCTCAAGAAAGGCGCCCTTGAGAAAGCCAAATACCAGCTCCATCTTGTCCGTCCGACTGACAAGATCTTGGCTCATGACTTTGACACTGTCATCCATAATCTTGAGACTATGCAGAAGGCAGCAGGGACAACAGGCGATCACAGAAATATGGTGATTCGTGACATGACGGGCGAGATGCTCCATGTGGTGGCGAACATATTTGAGCCTAGGGTGAGTGATTGTACTGCGTTGAAAATAATGCTGATGTATTTGTGTAGAATGTTCGAATTCCCGATTCTCCTCATGGCCGGCGTGTTCCTAATGCTCCGTTGATGGATGAAGTCACTGACAAATGGCCCATCGCACCTGATCATGAGGATGATTTCATTCACATCAAGTATACTCATGAGGCCGTTCCTCTTCCAGTGTTCCAAGACGGCAAAGCCATTCAGCCATTGGAGATCAACCACGCGTTAGAAGGAGCTTTGGTGGAGATTTATTTGTCGATTCATCACTGGCATTTTTCAGGATACGACAGCTTCCAAGCAAAAATGGAGAAAGTGATCATCCTTCATCCTACTGCCAGTATCCCAGGTAAACATCATTTGCCCGAACCTACGGAGGGCGAAGGTACTGAAGAAGAGCCACCGCATAAGAGAACTGAGAAAGCAGGTGAGGCAAGTGGTTCAAATGTCTGATATGATGATGTTCTGTTTCTGTATTTGTATTGTGTCATCGAGACGGAGCTCTGAGCTTCACTGTATCGGTTTCGGTATATCTGTATCAGTTTATGTATCGTTGTGTATCTATTGTGTATCCATATTTACGAAGATCTATCATTTTCGATTATTGCACTGCATGATGTTCACGTCAGGTGACTGACAGATTATGTGCCATCCAACATGACCTTGCTTCGCAAGGTAACAATCTTGATAGCTTTGATTTATCGAGTTTAATCTGGGTTACACAAGGGTAATTGGACGAGTCTGTTCTACAGCAGACCCATTTCTCCCTTCGGGTCTTCCCGTGTCTCTTCGTCTTGGGCCTTGCCTTTTGCCCCTGCGGCTTTTGCCCTGTGCATTTCGGCATGACGAACTTGCCGTTCGCGATCCTCATCGCCACCTCCTTTAGTGGAGATAGCAGTCTATGTCTAGCGAGACGAATCCGAAATGGCTCTCTGCCTTTTCTCACTCGAGTTTCTCGTCTCGCTAGGTACGCTGTTGTTGTCCATTCTGTTGGCTTTTTCTCACTCGAGTTTCTCGTCTCGATAGTATAGCAGAATTTGCGCACCCGCCCTGTAATCCCTCCCATAGTACGTTGGCATTGTACGATACGTACTTAGTGTTTTGGAGTCGTTTGTCTCCGGAATCCATGGGGTCCCCGCGTCCTCGCGTCGGGGTCCCCTTCGCAAGGTAACAATCTTGATAGCTTTGATTTATCGCTAGTATTACCCTCCCGGCGGCGGCGTACACATTTTGCCATTGTTTGCCACTTGTACTACTGTAACTTTGATTACATAATGTCACACTTTTCTTAGAGGCGTTGCCCATCCCCAATGTCATGATCACAACTCATCCGCAACTGTAGTAAATTGAACGGATTTACAGCCATTGGCTCAAAGATCGCTAGTCCACTTCTGAAAGTCTTGCTCAAGCATGTCACAATCTGCTGCATTTGCTGGCTTATGGTCGTCACTTCCAACACCATTAACACCATGGGTGTGAGTTCACCGTCATTTAAACTTCAAGCAGTGAGATCAAAGTTTTCTAGTCTGGACGTTATACAATCGATGGGGCATACCCAAATGACACCTGTTCAAGCTTCCACAATACCGCTGTTTATGCAGCATAAAGACGTCGTAGTCGAGGCTGTGACAGGTTCTGGCAAGACGCTAGCGTTTGTCATCCCTATCCTCGAACGTCTTATCAGAAGGGATACTAGACTTAGAAGAAACGAGGTCGGTGCACTGGTTATCAGTCCTACAAGGTGAGTTTCTGAGGAACTCTTATATTACTCAACGTCTAATCCTGGTCCTCCTTCGAAAGAGAGCTTGCAACTCAGATTCATTCCGTATTCTCTCTCTTCCTGAATGCCCAACCAGACAATAGCACATTGAAGGAGTGTGAGAATGGAGAAGGATCACCGCCACCCCCAACAGACACTGAATACTCAGGAGCAGGATTTCCCCCACCCCTTCTGCTTGTTTCATCAGATAAATCTTCCCCAGCTCAGGATATACAGCGCTTTCTCTCTACTGGTGCTAATATCATCATCGGGACACCTGGACGCATGGAAGAATTTCTTATAGGAAAAGGGAAAACTGTTGTTAGCGTCAAGGAGTTGGAAGTGTTGGTGTTAGATGAAGCAGACCGGTGAGCCTCTCCCGTTTACAGGAGTAAGAGCTTATTTGCTGAAGACGCAAAGTTTGCTGGACCTAGGTTTCCAAGCTGCTCTGACTCGCATCATCACTCATATTCCGAAACAAAGGAGAACTGGTCTTTTCAGTGCGACGATGACAGATGCTGATGCTCTTTCTGAATTGGTTCGCGTTGGCTTACGAAACCCTGCTCGCATCGTTGTCAAAGTTCAATCAAAGAGAACAAAGGGAACGAGTTCGGGAACCTTGCAAGAAAGTCAAATCATCGAGGAAAGGCGGATACCTGCAGGGTAAGGTGTATGTGCTATGTGCTATGTAACATTTCTTACCTATTCCTCTCTCCCAGACTTCAAAATTCCTACATTAGCTGTCTCCCGTCCGAAAAGTTGGTTCAACTGACACGTATAATCAAGCAGGAGTCCTTATCTCATCACGCACCACATTTCATTGTGTACTTTGCGACTTGCGCATGTGTTGATTATTTTTATCGCGTGAGCGTTCTCATATCAACCCTTTGCTCCTGAATTCCAAATGGGATTTAGATTTTACCAACGCTCTTACCATCCAATGTCCAACTCCATTCTCTCCATGGACACCTCCCTCCCGCAGCCCGTACTCGTGCCCTCTCAGCCTTTTCTTCAACTCTGTCATCGTCCTCTTCCCCTTCAGTGCTTCTTGCTACGGACGTTGCTGCCCGAGGACTTGACATTCCTCATGTGGATGTTGTCATTCAGTTCGACCCTCCATCTGACTCAAAAGCCTTTTCTCATCGTTGCGGCCGGACAGCTAGAGCTGGAAGGAGTGGGAAGGCATATGCATTTTTAGTAGGAAGAGAAATTGAGTATATTGGTCTGTTTTCATACGCACTCACATTACATCTTTGAACTGACGGCCGCGTCAATAGATTTCTTGTCTGTTCGAAAAATACCAATCAGGCAGCACCCATACATACTAGCCGATGGAAGCAAAGCACCGGACACGGATTGCCCCTCGACAGAGGATGGTGTCGTCAGTACCTTCATGTCCCAAATCAGACAAACTGTCATGACAGATCGCGCGCTGCATGACAAGGTAGCTGCCTTTTCCAATCTGATATACGTGGCCATTCTCACAGTTTGACAGGCTGTAAAGGCGTTTGTCTCCTTTGTTCGTGCATACTCCAAGCATGAGGCCTCCTACATCTTCCGAATCAAAGACCTGGACTTAATAGGCGTCGCAAAAAGCTTCGGTCTGCTGCGTCTGCCACGAATGCCCGAACTGAAAGATCGTGATAAGTCACAATGGGAAGGCGCAGAACTTGATGTATGTTCAATAGTTCCCAGATATCACACGTACTGATTGCTATGATGAATGAAGTGGGATTCATACTGTTATGCGGACAAGGCACAGGAAGCCAAGCGAGTTGAAGAAAATTCGAAGAAAGCTGCGGTGAAGCACGACTCCGAGACTCGAGCTGCCAAGCGCAAACGTAATGTTGCATGGAGTCAGCAAGCTGATGATAAAAATGACAAAGACAAGCGCCGGACACAAAAAGCGAGAAAAAAGCAATGGCTTAAAAGTCAAAATGTTGTTAGTGGTGACTTAAAAGGCACCCTCCAAACAGGCAGAGCCAAACCAGAAGAGAGTGGCGGAGAGGACGACTGGGACGAACTGGCACGAGAAGAACGATTAGCCAAAAAACTGCGGAAGGGGGCCGTCTCGCAGAAAGAATTCGATCAGGAGTTCGGTGACTTGTGAAAAATAGGCAATTGTCTCGTTCTTGTCTCCTTCCGTACATTCGTGTCCTCCGAGGCACCAAACCATGATCGGCATATCTAGGCATGTAATCATTGTGTCTCTCCCAGCGTCTGAATGGGGCCGAAGTCCCATGCGAGAACGTCGTTGTCGACCGTGCTGCGCATCAATATCCGATTTTCTTCTGACACCGCATCTGGGTGCGAAAACCAAACAAGTACAAATCTTTGACTTCGACACTTGGACTCGACTTTCATCATGGACGAGTCAACACCTCCACCGCCAGATATCGACGCATACACACCCCCACCCCCACCATCAGCATCAACAGGCACACCAACAGATTTCTTGAAAGGCGTGGTCGGGAAAAAGGTCATCGTGCGTCTCACATCAGGTGTTGATTATCGAGGTATCCTTTCCTTTGCCTCGCATCAATCTAGAACCAAGCTTATGTGCGTAGGCGTACTTTCATGTCTAGATGGATATATGAACATTGCGCTGGAGCAGACTGAGGAACATGTGAATGGGGTAGTTACGAATCGATATGGGGACGCGTTCATTCGCGGGAATAATGGTAAGCCGTTTCAGAATGTATGGCTGGATATGCCATGTTCTGATGTGTTCTCGTATACTAGTGTTGTACATATCTGCTGCAGAACCGCTATAATCAGAACCACATTGTACTGTACGAGCATCGCCAAAATCAACGAGTCTTTTCATGTCTGGTCTCGAGTTATCCACAGTCGCTTTGACTCTTATCGTACAACGCGAACATACTTCATGCAGATCCTCGTTATGAACGCGGTATCCCGCAATGCATGTATAACTGGGGACCTGTCTACTGCTGCACAGTTGTTCACACACCAAATCGACGCCGATCCCAACCACTTTGATTTCAATGCCAACCGTTCATAGACTCCAAGAGCCTCGCCCTCTGCGGAACCAAGCAGGTGCACGACGCAATGGCAGAATTTGACCTGACGTTCACGTTCACGAACGCAGACTCAAAGACGACTCGTTTCCTTTTCTTGATCAAGGTAGGTGATTTTCGACTCATACTCTACGCTTCATCATCGTTTTCAGGCTATCGCGTTGTCCAACGTCAATCCCTGCGAACAGACCGTGCTGCCCGTCCAAGAGCTAGCCGCTCATTCTAGTCTATTCTACATAATGTAAGGACGCGGCGATTTCGAAATAATTTGGTGTGACTGCCATGTGCGCGCCACTTGAGCTCAAACAACTTCTTGAGGCTCCCTTTCATTTCGATCTCCGCATTCTCCTTTCGCACCCCAATGGCTTCTGCGTGCTCTTTTCATGGCGTTGTTGGCATTCAAAATGCTACACCTTACGTGTTCGAATCCAAGAAGAGATTCTGGAAGATGGATGGGTTTGTGCCGCTTTCTGTGGAATCTGCCCGTCTCCATCGGCGGCAAGAACGCACCGCCTGAGGACGGTGTCTATTTTATCAATGCGCAGGTCATTACTACTGCCATAGAGGAAGAAACCGGTTTGAAGCTTTACTGTGTCGATCTACATCCCTCTCTATCCATCTATCCACTGCAGCCGTTTATTCCTAGGATATGCAATCCATTGATGGTGGAAGTGTTGCCTACAATCATCGTCGTCGGGAGAGTTTCCAGACACGACAGACACTGCCTGCCCCGCATTACCTTCACTTTTAATCCAGCGGGTTCAAACTGGACCGTCAATCGAAAGTAGTCTCCGTTGCGTCCGGCTTATGCGACAACGTTCAACAGAAATCCAAGCCTAACGTTACAGAAAGCAGTACTCAACTTGCGCACCGATTTGTTCGCGCACGGACAGCTGTACACTGCACTGTCAAGGTCGTAGAGACATTTAAGCGCTTTTTTGAGAAGGACTTCAAGGAGAGGAAGAGACGTAGTGTACAGGCGGCTGTTATTATAAATCAAGGCACAACCGTCCGAAGGGGACCGGAGCGCTTGTATGCTAGTAAGGACAAGACGTGGTCTGCACAAACATCTGCACAAACTGAGCAATTTGGGATACCAGATCTACCACAGCAGATGGGGCTTGCAGAAACAACAAAATCTGTCAAAACATAGTAGAATATCAAGCTGCGCAGAATTCCTATAAATACAACAGCTTGCTGATCCAACTTGACCTTATCATGTCTCCGTCCTACGTAGGTTCGGTCGCATCTACAAAGAAGCAGTGAGTAACAAGTATGAAGTCGAGTTTGAAGAGGAGAAGCTGACCACTTCCACAAATAATGGCAACAGCTGTGGAATGTAAACCAGATCAGGAGGTCTGAGCATGTCTGTGGATCCCTTCGATCTACGCGGTGGGTGATCTAGTGTACGCTGAAGGTTTTCCGCGGAACGTGCAGTTAGGGTGGGGGGAGGTGGGGGTAACGGTTTGTCCGCACGACGAAGTGATGGCGGTAATGGCGGGACAGGAGGGACATCTTTCCAATTCGACTGATGGGGGAAATTGGCAGATTTCGTGCTCCGTAATGAGATGGATCGCTGGCGGGTAGAAGGGGGAGGTTGTTGCACAGGTGGAGGCGTCAGCGGGCGTTGCGGGGACGACACATGCGGAGATGGCCTAGCTGTTTGCACTCGGGACCGAGTTGGAGTTGGCCCTTCCTCCTCGCTCTCCTCGCTCTCGGCATCTTCGTAGCTCCCCGAACTTTCTGTTTCGTACTCACTAGAAGACTCATCGCTTTCATCATCCGTTTCCTCCGCGGCAAGATCAAGAGCATCACTTTGAACCAGTTCCCCGAAATTAATTTCGCCTACCACGCTGTGCACCAGGGCCTGCGTGGCTTCATCTTCGGCGTCCGCGTCATTATGTCCCTGAGCCCGCGTGAAACGCCTGCGCACTTTTTCTTCGTGTGCGATCTTCAGCTTGTAATGGTACCGAGCTACCTCGTCTATCTCGTTCACCATATTCGTGCGCTCTTGCCCACCGTGGGGAAGTAGCCATTCAAGCGACACCGGTGATCCCAGACCTTCCCGGACGACAGTAAGGAATTTTTCAATCCATTGCATCAGGTTTTCAAACAAGCCCTTCCCGTTTGCATGTACCTTGTGCACGAAAGAGTAAAATGCTTGCTCATGCCGGCCGACGAGATCAATAAAGGTTTGCACGGTGGCCTGGGGATCCTCTTCGCTCACTAATCGCTCGATGGTTAGGCTTTCTCCGTTAAGAATCGGCGCGAAGAGCTTACTTTCTTCCGTAGCCTCGACGACCCTAATTAAATCGGTGATGAAATTCTGCAGATCTGATACAGAATTTCCAATATTGGCAGCCCGGTATACTTGAGCTAATGGCGCATAAAAAATGGAGATGATATCCTTCAACAACTCAGCGGTAACACCCTGGGAGTGCGTCAGTGGAGATACTGACAGTTTGTCAAGGAGGCCGACCTCGAATATTAGTGCAATCAACTGTTCCCGATCTCTCAACCGGGAATAAAGCTGCACGAGCATCTTTAGATCCTCAAACAGCCATGCCTCCTCGTTGGTTGGCCCATCGTCATCGTCTGAGTCCACAAGGTTTTCCCGCTCCCTCAGATATGCCGCGTGTGCAAGATGCGCCCGGTGCACTCTGCGTAATTGGTCACGATTTAACCTGGGTTCTTCTCCAGATCGCAGAACGACAACAAGTACGGGGACTTTCCCGTTCTTTGCATCCGTTCGATACGTATCCTGGATGTCGCGCGGGGCGTTGACAAATAGGCGGAGCTTCTCACACATGACAGGGTCATCAACTTTGGCTTTTACAGCCTCGATATCTTCTTCGATAATTGTGACCTCTTCCGTAAGAGAGCTAGAGAACATTCTGGTAAAGCATTAACAGGCTGGTTGACCGGTTAAATTCTGGACTACCGTTGAAGGAGACTTCTTCCACCGAACGGAGTCGCCAGAAAGATGTCCACCACGCCTAGCCTTCATCAATACATCAGTCATGAGAGGGTATATGCACCTTACTGCGTATCATGGCAACTGGACTGCTTATCTTGAGCGCTGTCCTTAGCAAAAAGTAAGGCATCAACCCATGTAAACGTTTCATGCTTGCGAATGTTTCCGACGCAGTATCAGACGCAACGAACATTTGGAAGATCGTCGAGGCTAGCCTACCAAAACGATTAGTTATCTGATTATTGAAAAGAACGTATATGCACGTTATTCTGCCCCATTCTGTCACGGCCCGATAATTAGGAGGTAATTGGTTTATGTCGGGAGTCACCTTAATTATGGTGAAGATATGACTGAGTCCATCTATGAATGTGTGAGATTGGTGATAAGCAACCCCTGAAGTTGACAGACCTTTCCCCATGATATCACCCTTGACGCTCTTCACTGCATCTCTTAAACCATCGACACGAGCAGCAATTTCGTGCGCAAACCGTTTCCTCCCATTTTCACGAATTCTATCTGCGTCTTCCCTTCTCCGAGCATCTTCTACCTCTTCAGGACTCAAACTAGTAGGTCCGCTGAGTAAGAAAGATTTGAGCACGGGAGAGCTCCCGATTACCCTATTGTTCATGAGAGAGTGCAGATAAGCTCTAAGGGTCAACCTATTCTTTTCCCGGGACAGCCGCGGTGGAGATCTCCCATTCCAGGACTGATGAGAAGACGAAGAGTGCGGGAGCGAATCAGATGAACCATCCGAGAACGTGGCACTGCAATCGGAGAGGGTTGTGCGTTGCATCCGCGATATTTCTGGAGGAGAGGTCGAACGCGGAACATTGACGATCGTACGATCTTTGACGGGCGGGGAAGGTACCATCTCTTCAGGATGAAATTTGCGCAACTACACAGGAGACGTGATGGGCTGTGTCAAGGATTGAGGTGCACAAATCGTACCTCATCTGCAAGCGTTTTGAAGTCGCCATACCTTCGAGACACGCAAACCTCACTATCTTCTGATAGCCGAGTCCTGATGATGAATTCCTATACGAGGTGATGAGGACATCGATGATTGATGATCGATATATGCCAGCAAACCTCGTGAACCCGACTGCGGACTCGACCCTTGTCTGTGATATTCCTCACACATACAATATTTACTTCGAATACGTCGCGATGTTTGGCTAACTGTGCCTGCCGCTTCTTAGCGAGTTGCTCGAGGCGATCAAGATCATGTTGGTTGAGCCGAACGACCTCTTCTTTCTCTGCTAGCTTTGTACCAGCGCTGAAAAATAGGGCAAAGTTCCGTTCCATACTGTCAAGCAGTTTGAGGCGAGCAGCCTTGGGTTCGTTTTCATCCTCAAGTAATGAGGTGGGGGATATGTTCTTCGCAAGAGCGGAAGCAACAAATACTTGTAGTTTATTTGGATAGAAACTTTTATCTGCAGCTGCGAGGAGGGGGAATGTTAAAACAAATTGGCGGAACATATACTTCAAGAAGGGTAAATCAAGGGGCTGAGCACCCATTGGGGGCGGCGTAAACGGGGTCCCAAGGTATGCAAGGGTGGAGCCACCATCATCAGGTGCGTTTGTTATAAGATTAATTCTTTGCGGAATTGAAGTTGTATTAGTGATTTCTTCAGGTAGTGAGCTCGGAGAGGTGTCAGAGCCAAATAGCGCTCCTCGGAAGGAACAGGATCCTGCGGATCATCATCAGTTGGCTTTGGAACAGAAGGTATCTGACGAGTGGTCGACGTGGCCGATGCTTTGA